GGCGGGTGGACCAATGGTACAGAATAGAGGACACAGAAACCAATCCACAAAATTACAACTATCTTATATTTGATAAAGGGGCTATTTTCCCATCCTTTCACCTTGAGTCTGTGGATGTCTTTTCCTGTGAGATGAGTTTCTTGAAGGCAGCATATTGTTGGGTCTTTTTTTTTTTTTTTCTAATCTTCCAGTCTATGCCTTTTAATTAATAAGTTTAGGCCATTCACATTCAGGGTTATTATTGAAATATGGTTTGTATTCCCTGTCATTTTGGTTTATTTTTGGTTTTTAACTTGACTTGGTTTCTCCTTTGATTGGCCTTTCCTTTAATGTAGTTCCTCCCTTAGTTGATTGTCATTGTTGTTTTTCATTTCCTCCTCCTGGAATATTCTGCTGAGGATGCTCTCTAGTGYAGTTTTTCTTGCTATAAATTCTTTCAACTTTTGTTTATCATGAAAGGTTTTCAGTTCATATCAAATCTGAAGCTTTGTTTTGTTGGATGTAAGATTCTTGGTTGGCACCCATTTTCTTTTGGAGCTTGGTATATGTTGTTCCAGGATCTCCTGTCCTTTAGGGTCTGGGCTGAAAAGTCTGCTGAGATCTGAATTGGTCTCCCTCTATATGTAATCTGATTCTTCTCTCTTCTGGCCTTTAAAATTCTATCCTTATTCTGTATGCTAGTTATTTTTATTTTAATGTGCCTTGGTATAGATCTGTTGTAATTTTGTGCATTTTATGTCCTGTAAATCTTTTGTATTTGATTTTCCAATACATTCTTTATTTTCTGATATTATTTCATTGAAAAGATTGTGCATTCCTTTGTTTTGAAACTCTGTGCCTTCCTCTATCCTGATAAATTTTAGATTTGGTCTTTTGATGCTATCCCATAATTCTTAGATTCATGGTTTCCTACCATCGTCACTGTGTGGTCAACTTTATTTTATATTTGATTGTGTGTTTGTGTGTGTGTGTGTGTGTGTGTGTTTGTATGTATATATGCTAATTGATTTATGTATATGTATATATACATATATATATACATATATACATGTATATGTATACATATATATGGTTTGTATTCCCTGTCATATGTATATGTATACATATATACATGTATATGTATATATGTATATATATATATGTATATATACATATACATAAATCAATTAGCATATATACATACAAACACACACACACACACACTTTATTGTATATTTTGTCTTTATTGTCTGAGGTTCTGTCTTCCAAGTGATCTAGTCTGTTGTTGATGCTTTCTATTGAGTTTTTAAATTTGTTTTATTGTTTCCTTCATTTCATTGATTTCTGTTTGTTTTTTCAAAATCTCTTTCTTTCTTGAAGTAGTCTTTTGCTACCTGTATTTGCTCTCTTATCTCTTTGTTGGTGTGATCAATTTTTGCCTTTTTTTTGTTCTCTTAGGTCATTCTTTAATTCCCTGATCATTTTAATTATGCACATTCTGAACTCCTTCTCTGTCATTTCATCTACTGTGCTGTCAATGGATTCTATTGTTATAGTATCTTGGTTTGTTTGGGGTGTTTTCCTCCCTTGTTTTTTCATGTTGTCTATGTGTCTTACTCTCTTGCAGTGCGAATCTGAGGTATTGCAGTTTCTACCCTRTAATCTTGTAGTGTCCCTGCAGGTTAGGAATATATCACCTTTATGGRGGAGATCAATGTTTAGAGCACCCACAACAACTAATATGCAGCCATAAATCAATTAGCTTCTGTTTAGACAGTTACAGTTTTGCCCCTATAAACAGAAATGATGAGTACGATCATCTTCTAGCATATAGTCAGTAGGGTTTCATAAGAGTTTATAGTTTCTAGTGGTGCACAGAGAGAAGGAGGGAGTAGGATGTGATGTTTATGAGGTAGGATGTAAGAATATAGAGGTATTGGATTACAGAATGAGTGAAAGAGGATCATCAGCAGAAGTTGGCTGTTAGCAGGAGGAAAAAACAGAGAGGTAACCCCATGCAAGCCTCCCTGTTGCTTTTGCAACAGGATGGTGACTGGTAGTACACCTAGTAGAGATAATCTGGTGCAACYGGGCCCATAGGGACCTTGGGGATGGTCTTCCAGGACCTGGTTGTTGTCCTTAGGTGGAACGACCACATCCCTAGTTAATAGATAATGTACATGTTGATGAGATTCAAATTTTTATTCCAAAAAAATAGAAACAGAATGACTTATGAGCTATGTTTAGAAATCACTAAATTTTTCTCATCAATATGCTGATGCATAGAAGCCATTTATGCTAGGTAGGTACATCTATTAGTCTCCTTATTTCTCTTCTGATTCAATTTTTACGATTATGGGCTTCAAAGATTGGGGGAGGGGGTGGTGGGTTTTCAGGCAGTGCTTGTTTTCCCAGGAGTTTCAATATGCAGACCCTAGAGAATCATCTGGAGTTTATAGATCAGAAAGTAACAATTGCTCCATTGATTTTCAAAAGACTTGGAGTCCTGTAGGCAGAACCCCATTAGACTGTGCCCATAAAGGAAGGAGCAGCTTTTCACTGGTGTATTTGTTAAAGATTACCAGCCTTGATAGTCCTAAATTTCAAAAGCTAGCAGAGTTGAGAAAAGAATAAGCCAAAATAGCAACAATGGCCCAGTGACTGTGGCACGCTATTGTTTGGGCTTTTTGGAGACCAAGCATCAAAAGAAATTTTCTTTCAAAGGAATGATTTGAGATATAATGCCGCTAAATTGTTTTGTGTTGTGTTTAAGTTTCAGGTTACAGAAACAATCACAAATTAATTCCTAGCAAACAGCATGACATAGCTGCCCCCTCAACAGGCATTTGAATTCTGGTCCCAGTTTGTACTTTAAAGTGCTATTAATCTTAAAATTACACGGCATCATTTCTTTATTTTTTCCCCCTTTTCCTCTTTCCTCTTTCCAAGAGTGATTACTTACCTGTTTGGTTAAAAAAAAAAAAAAAAAAAAAAGTTGCTGTGGCTTGAAGATGAATTTTTAAAGGGGGTCTCATAGGAGGCAGCTTGCTGGTTCTGCTCTGTATGGATTCCATTCGAATCTTGTATAGATTTCTGGTGCCTTTTCCCTCCCACCTTCCATAGCAGATGTTAATAAATATTTTGTTKCCCCCTCCTTTTCTTTTTTCTATACTAGACCATGAATCCTCCCCTTCCACCACCCCCTCTCCTGGCTGCCACTGTCCTCGCCTCCACACCACCAGGCGCTACTGCTGCTGTTGCTGCTGCTGCTGCTGCCGCYGCTGCTGCTGGAATGGGACCCAGGCCTGTGGCAGGATCCACTGACCAGATTGCACATTTACGGCCTCAGACTCGCCCAAGTGTGTAAGTGAGGATGTCATTTATTACTGCTTAAGTATTCACTTAAAACTAAGCCTAAACAGTAGAGGTAGAAACACACCTTTCTGATATGAGCTGCTGACAGGCTTATGGCCCACCAAGTAGTTGGTGTTCTGCAGACCTCTGCCTGGTCATGCATATAATTAGGAAACTGCTGAAACAGAATGAGCCTAACACATCAGCGTGCTAGGCAGCTCTCTTGCTGTGGAATGGCCTTTCACAGTTAGGGAARCATGCCGTTTTCTTCTTTCTAATAGCAAACGTGTGGGGAACTGCCTTTTTTTTTATATATATATATAACTCCTATTTGAGCTTTTGGTCTTGATTTTCATTCCTTGCAGTAGGGCACTAAGAAACAGGAAGGTGTTCCACACAAATCAGATCTAGGCGGATGCTAACACATAATAAGAGGGAGTTGGGAAGAATAGAAGTTCATTGGATTAGACAAAGGGGAATGGAGGGAAGGGAGGGAGGTTGGGAATAGGAAAGACAGTRGAATGAATTGGACATAACTTTCCTATATTCATATATGAATACACAACCAGTATAACTCCACATCATGTACAACCACAAGAATGGGAAGTTGGACTCCTATGTATAATATGTCAAAATACACTCTACTGTTGTATATAACTATAAAAGAACAAATAAAAAATATTTTAAAATATATGTTAAAAAAACAAATCAGATCTAGGTATAAAAAACTCTACATCCCAGCAATAATTATCCAGAAAAGTTTATTATTCTGTCCAGAGTTTATTAGTGGCAGAATGCAATATAAGATTTTTGCAAATCCTGATTGTTCACAGCGCCAGTCAGAACTGTAGATTAGTTTGAGTATCTGTTTTCAGGTGTTGATAGGCAGAATCACTTTACATTGTGGCGTTGTTTTGTACTCTCTATGACCTAGACCTTCTTTTCCTCTGAGTTTTTCAAATGCAATCTCCTTCCTGGCTGAGCATGTACAAACAGGTGCAGCCCAAGCCTCTTGGTTGAGCTTGYGTTTGGAAGGCAGCATATTGTGCTTCTCAATGGGATTTTATACCATATGTCCTCATTTGAGGCTACTTCCCAAGTCTATCAAGTGCCATTTGAAGTGCCCAGTTTTCCCAGTGGGAACCTAATCCATAGCAGTACATAAGGCACTCTTAGAAACAGCATTAAAGGGCTGGGGTGGTGGTTCAGTGGCAGAGGGCTTGCCTAGCATGTGTGAGGCACTGGGTTCAATCCTCAGCACCATAAATAAATAAATAAACAAACAAACACATAAATAAATATACATCAACAACTAAAAAATATTTTTTTAAAAAGAAACAGCATTAATTCTGTTACACCATACAAATACCATTTGATGGATACTTTTCCACCCTGGGAGGAGAAAATCTTGGCAAGGAAGGCCTGTAACTCCATTTAAAATGTAAACAGCAAAATCTCTTTCTAGGGAAACTTGCGAATGCTACTTATAGATTAAAAGTTTGTGCTTTCAGTAACATTTGTACAACATTGAAGATGTTGTAACAAACAAGAGTTTTGAGCACCTGGGTGTATGTCTGTTAGCCTGAGATCAGTTGTTTTCTTCCTATTCTAGGTATGTGGCTATCTACCCGTACACTCCCCGGAAAGAGGATGAACTAGAACTGAGAAAAGGGGAGATGTTTTTAGTGTTTGAGCGTTGCCAGGATGGCTGGTTCAAAGGGACATCAATGCATACTAGCAAGATCGGGGTTTTCCCTGGCAATTACGTGGCACCCATCACAAGGTATGGTTTTGAGTAAATGGTTTACTAAGTTCTAAACAGAACAGCTTTGTTCTTTCCCAGGATTTCCAGCCTGTTCATATTTCTTCTCACATTATAATTGCCTGTTACATAGCCAAAGTTTTTAAAATCCATATCTATATCTGCTAAAACCCCTTTTAATGCTAAGATCTTAGCTTACTTTTCACATGGATATGTGTGAAATTATAGGTTTCTACCATAAATATACTGGATTGGAAGTTATTTTCTTTAATTTATATTTTAGAAGACTCAACTGTACCCTTTTCAGTTGTTTTCCTACTAGAAAATAAAAGGAATAACGTTTGAAATAAGAGCTATGTTATTAATACTTTTCTGTTATATAATGCCTACTATATACCAGGCATGCTGATTTCTAAACCCATTACATTTATCACCTCTCAGTCCTTAAACACGTCATTGATGTAGTTACTGTTATTATCCCCCACTTAATAAGTGAGGAAATTGAGGCATAGAGAGATCAAATAACTTGTCTGAGATGACACTGAAGAAGGTCTCAAGCCCATACCGTGTGGATCTATATCCGGTCATTAACTGGGCAATTACCTATGAATTCTTAGTCAGAAATAAAAATGCCTTAAATATGGTGTTGATCCATTTTAAATAAGAGCAGTTTTGTTCCCCTGGGGACATTTAGCAGTAACTGAACATAATTTTGATGGGCATTTGGTCACAACTGAAGGTGTGGGGTGCTGATGGCATTTAGTAGGTAGAGCCCAGAGATGCTGTTCCATCCTACAGTGTGCAAGACAGCCCCCTACCCCACCCCACAGGAATAATCTGGCCCAAAGTATCATAGAAAATCCTATTACAGAATGATAGGCACTTTATATATGTAAATTTTTTCTCTATTTTATTTAAAGATAATTTACCTTCTGGTCACTGAGGAAACTATTCTCAGGAACTAAAGGAAATGACCAGTAATTAGGATCAACATGGAAGGAGCCCCAGGTTCTGACCACTGGACTTTTAATAATAGTGTAGGTTTAACTATGTTAAATCATTCTTCAAATGTCCTGATTTTAAACAAACGACTTAATGAACTGACATGTTTGTCAGCTGTTAGCCTTGATTTATAGGTTGGCTAGCAGCCTAATCAAATGAAAATCACTATTGTTGCAGATGGTGACAGAATGTTAGCTTTAATTTGACTTGCAAATTTTTAATCAATATAAACCTTCTATTCTGTATATGTTAAAATCGACATTCAGAATCCAGCCCATCCAGAAAATGGCAGATAAAACCTCCTTGGTGCAAAATAATAATAATAATAATAAATACGGGACCTACAACAAACAACAGTAAATAAATGAAGTTGGTCAAGCTGAGATTCAAAAACAGATTATCATACGTCTGTTTAACTCTGGAGCAATTCTTGCTTAGAGCAAGTGCTCTCTGAGTCATCATAATAAATAAGAAGGATGTTTGTGCTATTAAAATACCCTATCAGATAATTGCTCTAAACAGAATGGTCATTGTCTAAATGATTTTAGGAATATAAAAAAAATACATTATATAAAATCACTTTGTGCTTACTATAATTACATTCATAGGAAATAAATTTGTTCAGAGCTGGCCGTACCCCCCCAAAATGTGCAAATACTGAAGGAACAGAAAAGTCCCATTTTATACTGGTCCTACCTTCAAGGAACTTTCACTGCGTCATCAGCATTAACAAGGGATTTATTTCTAAAAAAAGAATACACATTTTGTAATCAAGGGTGAAATTAAATTAAGATAACTGTGTTGAATATAAAAACAGAACAAAGGAAGGAATCTGCATGAAACAGTGGAACCATAAGATCTTAAACTTGGACCCCAGGCAAGACTTCTGGAAATGATGGGATTTGTGCTGGGTCTTGAAAGAAATGAGACTGAAATTGGTCAAGAGCAGCCAGAAAGGACATTCCCAGAATGTGTGCATACGTGTGTGTGTGTGCGCGCGCGCACAGGTACTTGAGTGATGTGTCCGAGGCAAGCAGAGAGAAGGTCAGAAGCTGTGGAAATGAGGCTATTTAAGGGAGCACACCTGGCTTGTCTGGTAGGTGAAAGCAGGAGAATCCAGGACGTTGGAAGTCAGTGGGATGCTTGGTTTGTGATGTGGAAAACCGAACCTAGCGACTGTATATTCTTGAGCAGAGTGTGACGTGTTGGTCTCTGGTGACTCAGAACAATTTCAAGACCTTTCTCTGCCACAGGGCCATCATTTCTTTGAATTTGCTCTTCTTAAAAACTTTGTAAAAATAATTCCATTCATTTTTTTTAATAACCTTCTATCTTTAAAGCCCTGAGTCATTTTTCTTGCATTTAATTGTTCCATCTCTCATTTTGCTGATGGATTGGGCTTTCTTTCTGTTTCTGTCTTGGCAGGGCGGTGACAAATGCTTCCCAGGCTAAAGTCCCTATGTCTACCGCGGGTCAGACTAGTCGAGGGGTGACCATGGTCAGTCCCTCCACTGCAGGAGGGCCTGTCCAGAAGCTCCAGGGAAATGGTGTGGCCGGGACACCCAGTGTCGTCCCCACGGCTGTGGTATCAGCAGCTCACATCCAGACAAGTCCTCAGACGAAGGTCCTGTTGCACATGACTGGGCAAATGACAGTCAACCAGGCCCGCAACGCAGTGAGGACAGGTAAGAGGAGAAGACCAGGGCACATCAGGGAAAGAATTTGCCTGTCTAATAGCAGATCATTTGTGGCAGAGGTTGAGAAAATTAGATATAATATTAAAATGATGAACAACAGTAGAATAAGCTGGGAATGGTGGCTCATGCCTGTAACCCCAGGTACTTTGGAGGCTGAGGCAGAAGGATCTCAACTTGGAGGTCAGCCAAGGCAACTTAGTGAAACCCTGTCCAAAGAGTAAAAGAAAATATGACTTCTGTAATCAAGATTGTAAGTCTCAGATCTCACTGTTCCTAGCTCTGTGACCACTGTATGATTCTTTGCCAACTGGTGTGTTGATCATTGTTGATGAACTAAGTTGTGAATCTATTTTAGACCCAGTAGAATCTTAAATAGCTTTCTTGGTTCTGTAGCATTGAAAACCTACTGAGAATCTTGGGTAACAATGGTGGGGTAAACTAAAGGCTTGTAAATTCTATCGGAAAAAGAAGAGAAATGGTTCGTTATGAGCCAGGCACGATGACACAGGACTGTCTATAATCCCATCTATTCAAGAGGCTGTGGTAAGAGGATCATAAGTTTAAGACCAGTCTGAGCAGCATAGCAAGACCCCCAACTCAAAAAAAGAAAAGAGGAATGGTTAATCGAAAAAGGACTTGAGGCTGATATTGTTCAACACTGTAGAGAACCATCAAAAACCTATTCTGTGTGGAAAGGTGTTCTCTTTAACTAAAGGGTTTGGGGTTATAGTTGAACCTCTAAGTTCTCAACAGAATCCAGGGCTGATCTGGAAGGAAAATAGTGTCTAGAGATCCAGCCAAGATTTTAATTGCATTTAAATTACTATCCATCCATTCTTTATTGTAATAAGTAGCAGGAGCAACCTTTCATTGTGTGTGATGCAGCAAACTGACTCATGTTTCAGTGAGTAGCATTTGCTAGGAAGTTGACTTTTTCCTCCTGTTGTCTACCAGTTGCAGCACATAACCAAGAACGCCCCACGGCAGCGGTGACGCCCATCCAGGTACAGAATGCCGCCTGCCTCGGGCCTGCATCTGTGGGGCTGCCCCACCATTCACTGGCCTCCCCGCAGCCTCTGCCTCCAATGGCAGGCTCCGCTGCCCACGCTGCTGCTGTCGGTATCAGTCGAGCCAGTGCCCCGCTGGCCTGTGCTGCGGCCACTTCGCTGACCTCCCCGAGCATCACCGCTGCCTCTCTGGAAGCTGAGCCCAGTGGCCGGACAGTGACCATTCTCCCTGGACTTCCCACATCTCCAGACGGCTCTTCATCAGCTTGTGGGAGCGGTTCAGCAAGCAAACCAGACAAGGACAGCAAGGTAAGAGCGCACCCTTCTCTGCCGGGGCCGTGTCCTGGGGTGTCTCACTAATGCACATACTCTTTGTTTGAGTCCTTCTGGTGCTTACCACGGGTGAGTCACTGTCCCTGAGCCAGGAACACAGTGGGGAGGAAACAGCGCACCACCCTGTCGTGCACTCAGACTCCTGCCAGTTGCCCGGCCCTCTGTGGGCATTAGGGAGGCTTCGGTGAGCCGCCTCTCGCAGCTTGGTCTCTGGGAGGAATTTTCTTTCTTCTTGGGTCACTCATTCTTTCATCATTTTGCTGTCCTTAATTTTTCCTGTTCACTTGTTCACAAATCTGTTAAAAAATAAAAAGAAAGAAAAATTTGAAGACACAAGGGGGTGGAAAATGTTGATTAAAAGTATTATTTGTTGCCGGGTGCTGTGATGCATGCCTGAAATCCCAGTGGCTTGGGAGGCTGAGGCAGGAGGATCCTGAGTTCAAAGCCAGCCTCAGCAAAAAGCAAGGTGCTAAGCAACTCAGTGAGACCCTGTCTCTAAATAAAATGTAAACTAGGGCTGGGGATGTGACTCAGTGGTTGAGTGCCTTTGCATTCAGTCCCCTGTACCCACCCCCMCCCCCGCCAAAAAAAAAAAAAGTATTACTGGTGGCTTTATTTTATCTACAGTACATCTGACATCAGCATGGTTCCTTCAGAGTACCTGAAATATAGGGGAAAATTGATTTTCTAAACTCATATGTATTTTTCATGTTTTTCACTTGGGGCTGAATATCAAAGAAAATACAAGTAGAAAACTGTTTCAAGTACTCACCGATGGATGGGTTTTGAGACAGGTAGTTAAAGGAAAGAGAAACTGATAGTGATTAAATGTGACCAGGAGAGAAGAGATAGTAGCAAGGTCTGCATAATAGTACTGCAGTCGGCACTTGTTCCTCAATATTTCATGCATTCCCCCTGAAGTTGTGGATCAGTCCTCGGAAGCGCTAGGGTAATCAAACCCTCAGCACCTGGTTCAGCGGTGATGTATGTTGCTGTATTTAAATGGGTAGGTGAGCCTGTAAACAGGAATTTATAAGGAAATAAACTTTACCGCTTATTAAAAATATTTCACTTTTTACATGAGAAATTTTGAAAAAGATTGATACCTATTCCGTGTTTATAATCAACTACATTAAACTTGGGTTCAAGCTGACACATCCAACTTTGTTAATATCATTAAAAGAATTATTTTTATGGTTTAAATTTTAATGCATGGGCACGGTGTGTCCCAGGGCCCTGGTCACTGATGGGGAAGGGCCTCTTCAGCCCCTACCTTCCCAGGAATCCTGGTGTMGCATTCATCGAATCTCTGAAACTTGTTTCCTGAGGCTCCCGGAGATGTCCATCTCCTAATCCCTGGAAACTGGGGAAACGTTTCCTTGCTGGACAGAAGCATTTGACAAATGTGCTTAAATTAAGAGTGCCTATCTGGGAAGACCCAGGGTTAAGTATAAGGATTTTCCTGAAGGGGAGGCAGCGGGGTCAGGAGAGAACAGAAGGGGAAGCAGAGGTAGGAGTGAGGAGAGAAAGGAGCAAGCCAAAGAATCCCGGCAGCATCCTTTCCTACAGCATCCAGGAATGGAGCCCTACCAGCACCCTTGATTTTAAGAACTGCTTTTCACCACAAAAGTTGGTGGCAATGTTACAGCTGCAACTAATCCAGGACCCTGAGCATCATCATTCCCTTGAGTACTCATCCCTGACCAATGGCTATCGGCCTGTGCTAGGACACCACAAGGGCTGCTAGTGCCCTAACTCTGGATGGTCCCTGATCATCGTCAGACACCCTTAGCTCAGAGCAAAGGCACTGAGCACATGTGTCTCCCTGTGCCCTCCCTTCATTGTAAGGGACCTTGTGGAACATATCGATCCTTTTACATGATGCCCCGAGATGTTCGCAAAGTTGTCTCCTTATTTCTTCTTCCTTTTTTTAAGGTCATACTCTTGAAGTTGTTCATCATGTCACAGATTTCCACGTTTTCCCTTCTCAAGTCTACTACTTCATTTGATGTTCCAAGTCTGTTGATAGTACAGTAATTCCATGATCATCATCACTTAAATAATCACGAATCCTCACAACTAAGGGTCCTTTAGCCCACATTCCTAAATCACCTCTACTAGGGTATCACRGGGCCAATTGCCAGATGCTACATCGAGAGCAAATGTCTTTCAAACTCACTTTTTGCTATCACTCACTGGCAGCAAACTTTTCCTGGAAGAGTCTGCTCAGATTGTCATTTCCTTTCCTAAGTGCTTGTAATCCTTTCATTTAATACTATTCTAGAATTTCCGAGTCGGCAGAGTACCTTGTCTTCTTTTTGAAACGTCCCCATGTTTGCCTGTTGAGTTGACCTTGATMCCCAAGTTCACTAGTCTCTCATAGATTATTGGTTGTACTTCAGCTGTTAAGAGTATCCATTTGATCTATCAATCCCTCTTTTCACCCATTTCTCTCTTATCAAGATTTATTCTTCCTTTTCAGTATGAAGAGTATCCTTCCCTTTGCGCCTTCCATCTGAGAGCCATTGTACACTCCAGATAGCAGATCTGTGTCTTTCTTGTTCTTTTTGTTTCAAATATAACTTTTTAAATCCCCTTTTAATTTTTTTTTCTTTTTTTGTCTTTAGCATTTTGGCAACTTTAAGCTCATTCTGATCTTCAGCCTTCTTGAATCACCATGCACCATACTATGTTCTTTGTTAYGGGCCCTTCTCTTCATCTTTTTGTATGTGTCCTTTAAAAATGTGACCCCATTAGGCTGCTCCCCGGGGAATCACATCAGTTCCTTTGGATGCCTCTACATTTTCATCTGCCCAGATAATTTGCAATTGTATGGGTAGAATTTCATTTTGAGAGTCTTCCCTTTCCTCTTGAAGCATCTTCCCTTTTGAGTTTCATGTCATACATGTTTTCTTTGAACTTTTAAAATCAATTCTTTTAAAAGGAAGAGTTCAAACCTACCTCCAGTCTCTTCTGGGCGCCTTCTTCGAAGTTCTTGGTATTTCTGCTTCTCCTGGAGAGCATGTCTAGCTCCTGGCTGGTCTCCTCTCCCCATAGTTGATCAGAATCAGATCCAGAATTGCAGTGTGCTTGGCTTTCTGTGAGATTGAGCTATCAGCAAGTCAAGGGAAAAGTATATGAGAATCTCTTCTGCCTATGCTGTTCCTTTTGAACCGTATTTTATTTGGAAGTCCTGTATTACAAAATCTTAGGAATATCTAAAAGTTACATTTTCATCCCAGAGTTAAAGTCTCTAGCTAACTTGGTATGTGTACTCTGTATTGGACCATAGTTATCTGGAATACTCTATATTTTCAAACATAATCTCAGTTATTACTTGTTTGAAATCTGGGCCTTTCTGTCATTGTTATTTTTCCTTCCATGAGATCCCTGATTTCTTTCATAATCATGAGTTTAACAGCTTTGTCTGCTGTTTTTCTAAAAATGGATAAAACATCAACATTTACTGCCGCAACTCCTCACCCCCAARTTCCTCACAATTCTCTCTTAAGGAGCCAACCACAGGTTTTCTTCAGTCAGCCAACATTTAAGGACCTGTCTGTTATTCTTGATTTTCTTAAGCAGAGCTTCCTATCCGGTTTTTAAAGATTCATTGTTTTCTATTCTGAGCCCTTTTCCTGAAGTCCCTGCTGATTATTTTCTTTGCTCAAACCATTTTCCTTCCTCCCCATTCTTCTTTTGCTGTCAGAAATAAGATTGTCTATGTGTGTTCTGCCGTTCTGTTTGCTGGAAGGGAAGCCCACCCTCCCGCCCACCCTCCCTGTGACGTGAACACAGTCACTGTCCTKCCCTTGCTGAGAACTGGGATCCAGACCAGCTCCCCGAAGTGCAGATCCACACACACAGTTCAACCGAGAGCAGCCTTTGCGACCTGTGGTGACAGGGAAACGTGTCTGCTCCTATTATTCCCCGGCGCTTGCACTGGACACACAGAAGAGCAGAGCGTGGGCCTGATTCAGATCTCACCATCACCCCTTGCTAGCATGATGATTTTAGGCAAGCTTAGAAAGCTTCAGGCACTGAGAATAATAGTTAATTCCTGCCTCATCAGGTTGCTGTGAATAAATGTAGAAATCCTTTCTGAAAGCTTTTGACAAAATTTTTGAAGCTAGTGGTKTTTTGATCATGTCTACAATTTCACATGATACTTCCCACAGGGCCCCCTCCTTAAAGACCCCTCCCCTGGCCCCCTGTATCTCAGGCAGCATCCCGGGTCATCATCACTCTCCCCTTACCCTGCTTTATTCTTGGCAGAGGGCCTATTTTATAGCCACAATTGTATCTCTGCTAGGCAACATGAGTCGTTCTTTGTCTTATTTGCTATTGTATTCCTGAGTCTAGCAGTTTGCCTTCTTCATGTTAGACACTCTGTAAATACTTGTTCAGAGTGTGAGTGATTACTGTAGATAATCGTGAATTTAGTTTTTGAGATTCCTTACCTAAGAACAATTGATTCTGAGTTTTAGGAGTCTGGCTATATAGATTATTGATGGCCTATGGCCCAGTAATACTACTTTTTTTTTTTTTTTTTTTTTTTTTTTGCTAATTTCTGCATGTCTGAGGGCAAAAACAAAACAAAAATGGAAGACTCAATGGGAGAATGTTTTTAATTGTGAGTCTTTAAAATAAAGTTTATTTCTGCTCGGGAAAGAGCTCCAACTTGATGTTTCCCACTCAGACTCATTGTCTGTTATGTGACTGATAGAAAGGAATTAAGCTGATAGTTGTTTTGGTTTTTGTTTGTTTGTTTTGTTGGTATGTGATGCTATTTTAAATCGTCAGCTCTTCTGAAGGGAAAACGATKATTCTAAAAACATTATTTCATCTGGGAATAATTTATTGGAAAACCCACAGGAGATGAGTTATTAAGTAAGGTTTATGTTAAAAGATAGGCCCCTTTTTCATGTGTGCTAACGTTGCATTTAAAAAATTGCTTTGCTGAAGTGTAGTCTGCACTAATTCATCCAGTTTCCATTTCTGCTGTTTGATTTTGAAGAAAAAAGAAAAGAAAAAAAAACAAAGGTGCCCTTAGATGATAAGTGTCTGAATTTGTAGTTATCTCTTCCAAGGGGCATGTTGCTCTGCTAATAGAGAAAACTCCAGAATATGAAATTAATAGCACAGCTCCCTAGAACTAGGGCTGCATCTTTCCTGTGTAAGCATCCCCTCCCTGTACCCCCTGCACCCTGCCATGATACCTAATCCTCTGCCTTCTGCTCCATGGGTAGTCAGCATCAGTTGATGATGATAACACATCCCTTAGAAGTCATTAAAGCAAGCTGTATTTAATGTGTTTAATCATTTTCAATGAACCAAGTCATCTTTCTTCTTAATCACTTTAAAGGCTGTTCCCTGAGTGCATTTCAGTTATCTGATATTCTTCTGAGTGCCCCGTACTGAGCTTTTAAGCAACATCTTTAGCTGTGGCTTGCTGAGATGGTAATTTATCAATGGACTCGATGTTCTTGGTAGATCCATGGGGGTCCAGGGATTAGTGTGCGCCCTCTTACATCATGGCAGGAATAGCTAGAAGTCACAGCTGATAGCTACCTTCGAAGTGTAAGCTATCAGACATTAATCTCCCCAGAACATTGCTCGACTCTTTTGACCTCAGACTCCTTCCAAGAAGTAGGGCCACAGCATTGGCAGCTATTTAGTCAGGGCATTTCATTGACCTTTGAAGAGAGGAAAGATTTTATCTCCTCTGCATTGGGGAAATACAAAACTCCTGTTTTATCTTCTGAGCCCTGTCACTAGCTAAATATTTGGCTTTCCTTCCATGGGTCTCATCCTGTTCTAGTATTTTCCTGGCCTCTCAGCTCTAATAGGTGAAAGACTCTGTGCTAGGTCCTGTGTAAAATATAGAGGTGTGTAAGATACAGTTTCTACACTCAAGCAGGTAGTCCAAATTTGTTGGCCCATTTATTGGAAGGCAGGTGGTAGCCTGTTGGATAATGTGACATTATATGTGTGATGAGTCGAAGCCCAGGCCTTGAGATGCAGAAGGATCTTGCTCAGCCTTGGAATGGGTTGAAGGGATCYGGTTCTGCTCAGCTACAGCCCGAGTCAAGCTGGTACAGAAATGACCTTAGCACTTACTCCCTATCCCTCTTAACCCTGCTTCCCATTTTCAGCCCAGGGGATAATGCATACTGTGAGCAGCATTAAGCAAATGGAGACTGTGGTGCAATTTCCCAGGGATGCTTGCTCATCATCTGATAAATGATTGCTCCGTCTTCCTCATTTCTGCCATTCTGGGTCTAATGGAATTGTGTTATTGTGGATTCAGATTCATTTCCCCAAGGGTTTTTCTTTTTTTTTTTAACTGTATCTGAGCTAACTCATATTTCCAAGAAAAAAATTCTCAGTGCTTTGTTTCCTTGTGGGTCCCTGATAATTCCATGTCACCGTTAGTGGGCCTTAATAGTTCTGATTTGCTTACAGAGTTTTCTAAAGAAATAGTTCTCTATGAAATGTTTCATTTTCATGCAGAGTTTCCATAAAGAGGACTTAATGATGTGGTTGACATCTTAGTAAAACAATTTAAGATAATGATTTTAAAATGATGTTAAGCCTGGTCATCAAAAAACATTGGCACTTTCGAGTTTGTGAATGAAGGAAAGCTAGTTCAAGCTCTGGCTTTCTTAGCAGAGCCAAGCAAGATGTCWAAAGAGGCAAAAATTCAAGAGATGGTTTCTGGGAAATGAGGTTGTTGGGGAAAATTGTTATTTGTGCATTTGCTTGCAAWAAAAGATACTAAAGTATTAATATACTGATGCTTTCATTAAAATGTGGCATTTTGAGTTTCTTATCAAGGGAGTAGCTGCAGAATAGAAATGACTTGACTTTGTTATTATTGACTAGTTAAATTTAATCAAGGTGAGGATGAGTGAGAAGTGGTTTAGCCCTACACTCTGATGAAGGTATCATTCCTGTAAATGATGAGGCTCAAATCTGTGGGTGTGGAATAACATGCCGTTAGGTTTGCATTTCATTCAGCTCCCTTACAGTAGAGACAGGATAGGCAGAATTTCAGACAGTTCAATCTATCATCTGAATTTTTCATTTTATCCTTAAATATCTACTTAGACTTTTATCAAACTGAGATAAATTGGTGGGTTTTTGTTGTATCTTTAAAAAAAATTTTTTTTATTTGTTAAAGTAGAATGCATTTATKCACTTTGATACGTCATACATAGATGGGGTATAATTTCTCATTTTTCTGATTATACATGTTACAGAATCACATTGGTCATGCAGTCACATATAAACATAAAATAATAATATCTATTTCATTCTTCTATACTTCCTATCCCATATCCCCTGCTCTTCCCTCCCTTCCCTTGTCCTCCCCTCTACCTAATCTAAGGTAACTCTGTTCTTGGCTAGTGTCCCCCTGTTGTGAATTAGCTTCCTTTTATCTTTTTTATCTGCTTATCCTCATTACTTCAGTAGAAGATGATAATGAACAAACAAAAGCCTGCAGGCTGAATGGGAGAAGCAGCAGCAACCCTCAGGTTTAACCCTGTACAAACAAACACTGGTCACCAGATTACCAGTAACCAAGTATCAACAAACAATTTCAAAAGATCCAAGGAAAAGCGGAAACTGGAGGGGCCTATAGATTACAACAGCAATAGCGCTGTCTGTCTCCAACTACTGTCCCTATTTCTCTTTTTCTAGAAAGAAAAAAAGGGGTTATTGAAGTTGCTGTCTGGTGCCTCCACCAAACGGAAGCCCCGAGTATCCCCTCCAGCATCRCCCACCCTGGAAATGGAGCTGAGTGGTGGCGAGTTGCCCCTGCAGGGGGCCGTGGGTCCTGAGCTACCCCTGGGAGGAGGCCACGGTCGAGCWGGCTCCTGCCCTGTGGACGGGGATGGCCCAGTCACCGCGGCACCAGCAGGRGCAGCCCTGGCCCAGGATGCTTTCCATCGGAAGACCAGCTCCCTGGACTCCGCAGTGCCCATYGCGCCACCTCCTCGTCAGGCATGTTCCTCCCTGGGTCCTGTTGCAAATGACTCTAGGCCTGTTGTTTGTGAAAGGTGAGTTCACTGTCATTCTAGGAGAAAACTCTGAATAGCAAGCTTTATGCTGGAAAATACAATCTGATATCTTAAGATATTTTCTTGTGTCCTTATTTTTAGCTGAATTTGTAATAACGGTCAAGCTCTGACTCTATTCACTTGCTGCAATGTACTCTGGTCTCCTTTGCCCCCATCCCTAGATCTCTTCCGTGGGGTTGGTCTCTGGCCTTCTTTTTCTTTATTTTCAGAATGGATGCAGATGAAATTTGTCAGTCACCAGAAACTGACTCGTATTTACTTCCTTCTTCCTGCTTCTGTTCCATTACCAGCAGTCACTCTCTCTATTTAACCTCTGCATTTATTAAAAGTTGATATCATCACCTGCTGGTTTAAAGTAGCTAGAGAATTCTTTCCTTCTTCCTCCTGACCCAGAAGAGTGTGGCTGTCCTTAGTCTTAGTTCTGACTCTTCTCCTGACCCAGTGACTTGGTTCAGTACACTCAGAATAACGAGGTCTGTTTTAGTGGTTCTGGCCTTGAATAATGATCAGAAACAGAAGCAGTTCTGCTTGACACAGCCAGTGGGATTCTAGGAGTGTGTTAGGAGAGAAAATACACTTAATGAGACAAAATCTACTTGGATTATACAAACTGAGAATGAAATACTATTCATTACCCAGGAAAACACATCATGAAGAACCCTAAAAGCAGTGTGCTATTTTCACATCAAATAACAAACGTTTTGCTTTAAGTGCTGTTTCATTGTTTCTGTAAGTTTCATTCCCTCATGACCTGCATTTCATAAATGAAGCAAATTTTAAATTCATGGAAGTATTGCCTTTTTCAAAGCATTTTCTGTGTTACAGAACTGAGATCTTACTATAAAACACTATATTTTAAAATTACTTAAATTCACTTCACCATTGCATTTAAAAAAAAAATTTAAAGATGTTGATGGATCTTTATTTTATTCGTTTACTTATATGTGATGCTGAGAGTCGAACCCAGTGCTTCACACATGCTAGGAAAGCGCTCTACCACTGAGCCACAACTCCAGCCCCTCACCATTGCATTTTTAAAATTTATTTATTTATTTATTGCTGTGCTGGAGAGTGTCTGGCCTCCCACATGCCCAACAAGCATTCTACCACCGAGCCAAGTCCCCAGCACTTACCTTTGTCTTTCAGATAAGAGCCATGTGAACATTTGTACTCATCAAAATCTAAAGTCTTCATTTATATGATTTTGTGGCATACTTTTTTACTTAAACTATGAGGGCTGGGGTTGGAGCTTAGTGGTACAGCTCTTGTATAGCACAAGTGAGGCGCTGGGTTCCATCCTCAGCGCCACATTAAAATAAATAAATAAAAGGTATTGTGTCCATCTACAATTAAAAATAAATATTAAAAAAAAACTATGAAGTGCAGGGGAGTGATATTGGCCAAATTTTATTGTTATATTGTGTGCATGTGCAAATATGTAATARTAAATCCCATCATTATGTACAACTATAATGCACCAATTTAAAAATATGGGGAAAAAACTGAAAAACGGAAAAGAATAAACTTYAAACAACCTGTGTGCATGTAGTACAAAATGCACAGTGTATGTTTTTATAGTAAAGTTAAATAATAATTCTGATTCTTATAAAACCAGTTGAGAAATGAAACATTATCCTAAAAAAAGCGTCTCTTTCTTACACTTGGAATCATTCTTTCTTCCTCTCGTCTGTTGTGCTCTGGTAAAGCTTTGAAGTTGTGTCCTGACTTCACTTGATCTCCTATTYTGAGCGGCAGGCTTTTTTTTTTTTGCAGTGCTGTTACTCTGCTTTCCAGGGACAGGAGGTCCTGTCCCTGGAGATAGTCCAGTCCCTTGTGTACTTTCTTTTGGTCCCAAAGGCTCCCTGTTTCCCTCCAGGCGATGATCCTRCATTCCGTGAGGCTCGCTGTCCTCTTTTCTCTGTCATTTTGGTATTTGTGTGACTGTTTCCAGGGATGGTTCACTTGCCCAGACTCCCCAGGCCCTGACTCAGGCACTGGGAGCCTCCTGCCCCATTATGCATTCCTTTTCAGTTGCCAGATGTCCTCYGTCTCTGTGGCTTCTGCATTCCAGCCCTTTCCTCTTAAAGGGGCTCTTTTGGAACAGCAGGCTCCTGCTGTTCAGCGCTCCTGAAAAGGAGAAATTACTAAGGAAGACAGGTGATGGCGTTTCAGGGAGCAAGGGACGCACATCAGACAGGGAACATGGAGAATTGAATGATGGGACAGATGGGCTCGGGCACTCTGGAATTCTCTCACACGTTTTTTAATATAACCATTTCAATTTTTAGGAGTGGGAAATAGGTCTTTGGAGAAGATTTCTGCCCACGTTTATACTTTTATAATTCATACGTTCAGTGGAATATTAAACACAATAGCTGGCAGGACCAACTTCTCATAGCCCTTTACTTTCATACAGTGATGAGAATCGTATTTATTTAGCTTGGATTCTTAAGTCTGCCTGACTGTAAAAACGTAAGAAAATGGGCTATTATCCACCAGAAATGAATTTTTTAATAGAAAACTTCCAAGGAGAGCTGGGGATATAATCAATGGTAGGGGACTTGCTTAGCATGTGAGGCCCTGGGTTCAATCCCAGCACCAGGAAAAATAAAAAGCTACCAGGTATATAATTTAGAGATTACCTGTTTGCCTATTTCAAAAATTTTACCACAGCAAAAAGTATTTACTGCTTAATATGAAGGAAAAAATCAACTTTCATATCAGTATGATTCAGAAAGCACTTGAAGATGTTGTGTTTCCTTGATTGACAATATAAACATCAACAGTTCTTGCCCTCTCAAAATGCAGAAGCCCAGGGTTCTGTTGGTAGAACTTTTGCTGATTGATTTTCATAGAAATATTTTTAGTCTATAATCATAGAAATATTTTTAGTCTATAATATCGGGGCAATATGAGATAGGGATCCCTACAGATGATAATGAGAGCCAGCACCAAACCTCTCGAATCATGACCCATAAATCTCTAAAGTAACAGGAATAAATAAACAAATAAATAAATGAGTAAAGTTTGAAGTAAAGAGAGAAAGAAAGAAAGAAAGAAAGAGAAAAAGAAAGACGTGACTGGGGCTGCCAGTGCTGTCAATGGAGAGAAGCATTCATGTGATGTAAAGACTTAAGCAGTCTCATAATAAGGAAGGACGAACCTTGAAGTGTGTTGACAGGTCTCAGTGTCAGCTGAGGGAATTCTCTAAGGAACAAAAGGATTCTTTTGTGTTTGTGAGAGAGACTGAAGAAAACAAGCAAGAAATAGCGCTCTTTCCTGGAGGCAGAAAATGTATAATTGATGACAGCAGAAATAATAGAACAAATATTTTAGGCTCTATTTTAGGATTGAGAAAAAATAATTAGGAAATTGCAAAGAGAAAGTAGAAATAAAATATTTCAGAAGAAATGGCAAATAAAAGTATGTGTGACAGACCCCCCCCCCCGTATACATACATACATATATGTATGTATGGCTTAGGGAGACACAGCAAGTCAGCTGTCTCTATGTATTTTTAAGTTTAGAAATTAAACTGATAATCACATACCTATAAGCCCATCTCCTAAATTGGAAAAGAACCTATGATCTTTGATCAGGGATTAGGCTAGAATACTTGGAAACAAACAAATTGGATATAGAAAGGCAGTCGGGCTTAACCAACATGATTAATTTCTGTAAGTCAGTGACAATGAACCCACTGGGTGAAGCGACAGACATAATTTACTTGGACTTTGAGCAAGCTACCAAGCCAGCTATCACGGTTTTGCGAGTGAAATGCGTAATTGGATATTAGACTGCTCTGGCAACTGGCAGAAAATAGTGATGGTTACTCACCCAGGCCGAGGTGACGGATTGAGCGGCTCCCAGCGTTACAGGGAGGCCAGTTTGGGCTAAACCAGGAGAGATTAGAAATGAAAATCTGAGAACTTCAGAGAATACAAGAAAAGCCAGAGGAATCAAGGAAATAGAAAATGTGTACTAATAAAATACGGGTGAAAGCTAGACTACTGTAGCCCAAACCAGGAGGTTTGGCACTGGATATCAGTGGAATTTCTTTACTTGGCAGCGAGACTTGTTTCTCTAATTTTACCCTGGTAACTGTCCCTGGAAGGTGAGTGAATCACACAACCATGCAAAGGCCCGATTGGATCTGAGCCACACCCCACACCTACACCTCAGTTCTTTGTGCAAAGAGATCAGGGGGAATTTTCTTCTTCCCTTTCTTTTTTCTACTATCTCCATTCTTTTTATTCATTTGTTCATCTCATTTTTTGAACTGTGGTAAAATGCAGATAAAATTTACCAATTTATCAATGTGCAATTTAGCAGCATCAAGTACATGTGCATTGTTTACCACCATTCCATTCACCACCATCCATCTGCAGAAATATTCACCGTCCCACCCTGAGACTCTGTATCCTTTAGCAACAACTCCCAGTCTGGGCTCCCATAGGCCCTGAGCTGCCATTCTCCTTCCCATCTCTGGGAGTGACTGTCCTGGATGTCTCACAATACTGTGTATGTCCTTTAGTGTGTGGCTTATTTCACTTAGCATGATGTTTTCAAGGTTCTTCTATGTTGTAGCAGGTATCTGGATTTCATTCCTTTTAAAGAAACATTTAAAATACATTTTAAAAAATAGCTTTACTGTGTGGTTAGGCCTTTGCATCATGGTGCACGCTTAACAATAATCACTATATATAACTCTACTTGGTAGTGTGAAACATAAAGTGAATTTAGCATCATCTCACCCCTCAAGCAGATTATGGTCTGGTAGAATAAATGAGACAGGGACACGGATGCTAATAATACAATGTAGACTGTGCTAAGTGCCATAAGAAATATACATGGAGGCCTCTGGGATTAAGTCAAGCATGAAATTACTTCCAGCCATGGGGCTGGAGATTTCATAGGGGAGAATTGGAGTCAGGCTTTGAGAGATTGATAGGGTGTGGATGGGCAGAGATGCTGTTAAAGAAATTCCCAGAGGAAGGAACCAACACGAGCAAGGTGTGGAGTGGGAGAAGCGGAGGCCATATCTGGGAAGYGTGTTCCAGCTTAAGGGGGTGTTTGGTACATTCATGGTGATAATGGCAGCTCTAGCGATAGAGATTAAGGCCAGATCATTGATGGCTTTGTGGACTAGTCTGAGGATTAACCTTACAGGCATTGGGGAGCTGTTAATGATTTTTCAGCAATGGGTAGCTACAAATAGAGTTGCCACTTAAGAATATTAAATGTGTAGGATGAATTGGAGACAGGGAGAGATTCAAGACAGGAAAGAAGTAGATGTTAATGAAGTCACCAACCAGGATGGTGACAATGATAATGAAGAGGAGTAGACTGGGTGGAAGTGGATCGGCAGGTGCCATGGAAGTCATGAACTCCCGAGATTTAGAACTGCCCTAAATCCCTGTTCACATAAAGACAGGCTTAATCCAAGTGAGGCAGAGGGCGGGGCACAGATGTGAATGAAGGGCCTCTGCAGCTGGGCCTTACATCTGTTTGTGAGTCTGTGAACCTTCTATTTGGCAAAGCTTTTTCAATGCCTGAGATAGTTGGCCTGTTGTGCCCAGAATTTGGCCACATGAGTCTGTATTAGAAAACTGTGCAAACCACCTCACAAGGCTCGAGGCCAGGATCTGAGCTGGAAGAATTCTGAGTCTGTCACTGCTGCACCTGGTAGTCTTCRTACGATCAAGATTGTGTCACAGTTTCCATTATGCACATAGTTTCTCATTCCACCCCCTAGAGGTTTATAACTGAGCAATGAAAATTTGCTCCCACTGGGAACTTGGCAGGAAGATTATGTTCTTAGCCCAGCAGCAGTTCTAGTTCAAAAAATTTTTTGACAAAATTGGTTTAGTGCATTTTATAAAATGCAGATATTAATGTAATTCACTTAAATTTTTCAAACTATTCTGGTTCCATTTTACCTTTAAGGCAGCTCGCAGAAAACCAGTTAGAATTGGGTCTCATAAGAGATCTACTCTGAATATGTTTGGAATCATTTGTACTTTTTTTTTTTTTTTCTAGAATTGTAGAGCTTTACTTAAATTTTAACTTGCCTCAATAGGGAAGTACATCATTTCTTTTAACCCAGATTTTCAGCATATTGGCATCAGACCTGAGAAATCTCATCTGCATCCTTCCTTCAGATAAAGCCATAATGAATTCGTTTGTCAGAGAAAGGATTCTAAAACTTTGATCATTCTCAAGTTTCTGAAGTCTTAAAATTATCAAGAGATTCTTTAGGTTGTGGCCTGAGTTTCCTGATTAGAGGTCCATCCTTCAAACCTTACCTCCAAGAAGTGCCAGACTCCTGCCTACTCTTATATAAACCATATGATCATAGTGGGAGCTAATATTTTGGGGTTGAAYTCTGTGTCAGTTGCCATACGAGGGCTTCATTCAAAGCATCTCATCATAGTCCTATTCTACGGATGTGGAAACTGTGACTAAGAAAGCTAAGATAACTGACCCAAAGTTAAGCAGCTCCATGTGTCCCTAAAAACTTGTCAGCCCACTCCCTAGGCTAAGGCTTTCCTCACAGTGCCAGGCCTCATCCCCAAGTCTGCGCTTGATTGAACCCTGACACATGTGTTTATAAATGCTTGTGTCTGAATTAGCTAACCCTTTCTAAACAGCTAACCCACCTCTGTGTTATACTTTTGCTTGGGTAGCCACATAGCCTTTGTGTGTGTGTGTGTGTGTGTGTGTGTGTGTATTAAATAGTATAATAGTCTTATATATGTATGGTCTTTGTAAATATAAGTGGATATGAATGACTGAGGTGATTCATTCATATCACTATTGGCTGGATAGTTTGGGGTTTTGGAAAGAGACTTCTGTTCCTTTACAATGCAGTGGCCTTGTGGGGATGTTGAGTGTCCTTACAACATGGCCGTTGATTTTTTCTCAGTGAATGATCCAAGAGAAAGTAAACTGGAAGCCACATACCTTTAATCATCTAGCCTCAGAAATCACATGCTGTCACTTTCATAATACATTATCAGTCAGACAGGTCATCCCTTTGTGTTGTGGGAGGAGCCTACACAAGTGTTGAGAATACAGGAAGGCAAGGATCGCTATAGCCCCACGGGATGTTGGCTGCCATACACCACCATTCCCATCCCCCACCATTTGGTTGGAAAAAGCAAAAGGAGTAAAGGAAAGAAATATCACTGGATAAACAGAGAAGGCTAAAAGAATATAGAACCTAAACTAAGTTACCTTCCTCCGGCTTTCTTGGCTGCTGAATAATCCCATGCAGAGAGCCTCAGCAACAAAGGAAATATTAAATCAAGCTACTGGAGTGTCTAAGTGCTAACTCTACCTTTCCCACTGAGAGCTGAGTTGAGAAACAAGGAGAAATGGGCACAGATCTAAGACTAACAGAATGTCAAACTCATTAATGGTGGTGGTGGATTGAATCTGTGGCCACAGTCTCCTTTCCAAGTCTGGACCTTGGGCTACCTTTCCAACAGAGAATGTGGCTGTGTAAAGCAGATGAACTTCCTTAGCATTCCTGCCAAGTCCCAGAATAAGAGTTGCAAAGACACAGGCTTTCAGATGTACTGCCAGCAAGCAGGCCTGACCCTGACCCCTCTCTGGTTACAAGGTACGGCAGAGCAGAGCCCACTCAGCCTACTGAAAGCAAACAATTCGAAGAGGCTTGAACCCAGATGCTCAGCTATTCTCCCRGTCTCACCAAATAAATACACTCTTCTCTTCTTGGAGTAAAGGGCAGGACACTTCTCCTGGGAAATTGAATAAGACTTTTCGGTTTCCCAGTTTGTAGGGCCAACATATAAACACTGGGAGGGGTCAAATGGCTCTCCGGCATAGCACCCAGATAAACCAGTCTGGACCATCAGTAGTGGACAAATGCACATATCCAAACACATTAATGCCAAGYAAATCTCTACTGACAGAGAAGAGCTGTATTTTGAGTTTTTACAGACCCTTATAAACAAATTCATGCTATTTCCTATTCTGTTTATTTTGAAGGCTCATGCAGATTGACAAGTGCACCATTCTTATCACTGCGTTGATGGCCTTAACCAAAGTCTCCCTCTCTCTTGTAGGCACCGGGTGGTGGTTTCCTATCCTCCTCAGAGTGAGGCAGAACTTGAACTTAAAGAAGGAGATATTGTGTTTGTTCATAAAAAACGAGAGGATGGCTGGTTCAAAGGCACGTTGCAACGCAATGGGAAAACTGGCCTTTTCCCAGGAAGCTTTGTGGAAAACATCTGAGGAGACAAACACTGGGGAGACTCAAAATCACATCACACGACAAAAGAGCACAAAGCAGTTTGATGGAAAGAGCACATCTGTGGACTTCGAAGGGTCAGAAGCTGAGCAGAGGGTTGGTATGTGGCTCCGGAGCCTCAGCACAGCCACGCCAGCCAGCAGAGCAAAGCCGGTGTCTAGGTTTCACCACTCAGTTGGGATTGTAAGGTGTGCCTTGTACTGAGCAACCTTTTTTTGTTTTTGAAAGATGTCTAACTAAAATGGACAATTGTTTACAAGGCTTAACTAATTTATTTGCTTTTTTTTTTAAACTTGAACTTTTCTTGTAATAGATAAATTCTTTGGATTATGATTTTAAGAAATTATTAATTTATGAAATGAGAGCCAAGGAGAAGCTGGATTATCTCCTATTGAGAGCGAGAGATTCGTTTTGATGTCGAATGCATCTTCCCTCCCTCACCCCTGSCCCCCACCATTATATTTTGCTTCTCTAAGACAGAATTGCCAGTTCTCTAATTTGGGTTTTCCTCTTTGGGAAACCAAACATAGAATTGAATCAGTATAGAGAGGGCCTGGGGTAGGGAGAAAAACGCAAGAGAAGAAAGGTTAGTGATCCTTTTTTTCTAGTTTGATCAGGAATCAACCTGAAGACCTAGTCCTCAATTTAATTTTATGGGTTTTTAAATTTCCCTAGAATGGAACCAGTGATAAGGGAAAACAAAGCACAAGCATTGACTAGAAATRTATTCAGAAATAATATTTAGTTTTTATAACAGAAGCAGCTCAATTCATTGGTTGGAAAGTAGGGAACATTGACGTTGTACTCGCTGTCTTGAGAATGGCTATGAAATGTAATTTCCATTTTACSSCAAGTGATCTGCATGCCCAGGACACAGTAAAACGTTTGTGAGATGTGGTGGTAAGTGATGCGCTCGTGTTCGGGTCAAAGGCTGTAAGAAACACTGTGAAAAGTTTACGTTCATCCGTTGTGGCTCTTTCTCCRCGGTCTTGCATGTGTTGCCAAGTCCCACAGTAACATGGACTGTGCATGGTGTGTATAGTTCATTGCCGTTTTCTGCTGAGGTTAGTTTGCATTCAGCATTGACCGATGCAGGAGATGTAAAATAAACAGCACTCTCTACCCCACAGCCTCTCCTGACCAAGGTCTGCTGAGCACACTTGCTCCCTCTCTGGCTAAGGTGTCCATCAGCCATCACACAAGTCATGACTGAAAATGCTCTGTGTCCTCCCAGCAGACAGATGGAAAGGATGAGCGTATCCAGGAGGCTGCTCCTGAGGCCGTTCCTGGGAAGCTCTGGCGGGAAGGCTTGGCGGGAGCCAGTGTGCCCACACCTTACAATTGTGGCAGGATCCAGCTGAGCCTGCCTTTTTATATTTATATCCATTCGCTGATGTCATTGGCCTCTTCCACCGATTTCAGATTTCATTACGGTGCCACGCAGTCGTGGACCTGGGGAGTCCTAAGAACAAAAGGAGGGAAGGCAGCCTGGTGGTGAGGTTGTTACCACAGTTTTCTCATGGGAACTAAGTAAAGAAACAACAAACCTTATTTTTTTTTTTTTTTTACACTTTTAAGAATTAATGCTGGGAAATAGAAACATGGACTTAAAAGTCTTCTTGCAATAGCAAGAAGTTTCATCGTCTTAAAAAGATATAGAATGTTGTTGAAAATGAAATCATTCCTAAGTTAACCATTTTTTTTATATAAAACACTGTACATTATGTTCCTGTGTGTTGAATTTTTTTWWAAAAAAAGTACTGGGATATTCATGTAATATATAAAGGTTGGTGAAATGAACTTTAGTTAGGAAAAAAAGCTGATGCCAGCTTTCATCTGTGTAAGTTGACACCAATGTGTCATAATATTCTTTATTTTGGGAAATTAGTGTATTTTATAAAAATTTTAAAAAGTAAAAAGACTACTACAGGTTAAGATAATTTTTTTACCTGTCTTTTCTTCATATTTTAAGCTATGTGATTGAAGTACCTCTGTTAATAAGTTTCCTGGTATAAAGTTGGTTAAAATTTCATCTGTTAATAGATCATTAGGTAATATAATGTATGGGTTTTCTATTGGTTTTTTTGGAGACAGTAGATGGATTTTGTAACAAGGGCTTGTTACACAGTGATATGGTAATGATAAAATTATAATTTATCATTCCTTTTCATGTTAATGATTTGAGGACTAGATAAAATGTTTCAAGATTAAAATTTGATGTTCAACCTTTATAAGTCCCCTGTGTCAGTTCTTAAAATTTTCCTTTTTTTTTTTAACCTAGGACACTTTTGACTTGATTTCTGTTTCATAAAAATTCTTTGCATACATCTCAAACAGCAGGTGTCTGCAAGCATCAGATTGGTGGTTATACACTTTACCTCTCCAACTAACAAAAACCCTTATTTGTTTAGTTCCTCCAAGAAGCTTGAAGTCTTCTGCAAAGAGTCTATAAGGTCTCACAAGATACTGCATAGCATCTCTGCTCCCCCTCCTCCTTCAGGGTTACTAAAGAGCCTAGTAAGTGCTAGAAGCCATGGGAAAGGTTGACCTTCAGCCAACCATATGAACTGTTGGGTCTCAACATGGCTTGGGGACCTAATCCTGAGACCTACCATGATTTTAACCTTCCATGAAATGAAAAGACCACATAATTCTTGTTAAAAAATATTTTTCCATTAACTCTTGCTTACTCTCAAATGACTTGTCAGAATTAAAAATCAGGCATCCCAGGTTGTATTGTGGCTTTACCAAAAAATCATCTGTGTAAGTCAGTTATTAGTTTTTCATATTACTGGTCTGTCTGTCCCACTGGGTAAGGTGAGAYGCAAAGGAGAAAATGTCACTGTTTTGAAACTTTTAATTTTATTACATTTGTATGTGGCATTAAATTCATCTCTAGTTTCAAATATTTTATCTCACTTTATTAGAGTACACAATATATAGTAATGGAGTCTAATTGCATTCAGAAGGAAAAAAGGAAGRTGATATTTCCAACTGCTGTGCATTGAATTGCCTATGATAATAAGACAACCATTTATTGATTGATTGATTGACTGACTGATGGACTATTTAATTGATTGAGACAGTGTCTTCTTATGTTACCCAAGCTAGTCTCAAGCTCCTRGACTCAAATGATCTTCCTGCCTTAGCCTCCTGTGTAGCTGGGACTATAGGCACTCACTACTCCACCCAGCTTAAGACAACATTTTTATATCTTCACAAGTTCAKGTGAATATTTTAATCCAGAACTATGAACAACACTGATATTCAAGTTTGGAAAGTGCTTTTAATATATGTTTAACTAAATTGTGCAACTCCAAGTATGTATSCATGTAAAAAAAMWTTTTTTTAMATGTGTTTTGAACAAGTTAAAGCAAGTCCTTATCAAGATGGAGTAAATGGTAACCAGCCAAAGTAAATGGTGACATTTTTAAAATACCCTGTCTCTAGTTTACAAATGAACATTTCTTTGACTTCCTATTACAGCTAACCCCTGAACAATGCAGGTTTGAACCGCATAGGTCCACATACATAAAGGGATTCTTTGTTTGGAGATTTGCAACAATTTGAAAAAACTTGTGCTAAACATCACAGCCTAGACCTGTTCAAACAAGAAAAAATTAGGTATGTCATGGTGTGTAAAGTATATGTAGATAACAGTTTTATTTTGTCACTTACTACCATAAATACATGCAAATCTGTTATTAAAAAGTTAAATTTTATCAAAACTTAAGCACACTGTATGTGGCCCCATTCACAGTTGAGAGAAATGCAAGCAAACGTAAAGATACGTTGTTATCTTTATATCATAACTGCATAAGATTAACTGTAGAACTATAATAATCTTGTAGCCACCTCCTATAGCCATTGCAGTGAGCTCAAGCATTAAGATTATCTGCTTAAAACTCTGTGTGCTACTGATCATCTCCACGTGAGTGGTTCATCTTTCCAGGAARTTGTGTGTGGCAGGAAAAAGCTATTTCTGGTGGGTCTCACTTTTTTCTTTCTTTTTTTTTTTTTGCTGTATGCAACACATGTAACATATAAAGTATGGATTAATCAACTTTTAATGTTATCAGTGAGACTTCTGGTTGATARCAGGCTATTGATAGTTCAGTTTGGCGGGAGTCTAAAGTTACACTCATTTTTGACTCCATGAGGAGGTTGGTGCCCCTAAATTGTTCAAGGGTCAAGTGTAATTACTTTCCGATTTGGCTCATTGGATTTCCATTTCAGAAACACCATATGGATCTTACTCTTGCTAATTCTCATCGTTCTGCAATGATCCAGACTCTCAGTAACTAGGTTGAAGGGATATGCAACTGACATTAATCTTTTTTTATTTTCAGTCYTAGGGATTGAACCCAGGGGCTCATGTATGCTAGGCAAGCACTTTACCACTGAAGTATATATGCCCAGCCTTTTGAAATTWTATATTGAGACAGGATCTCACTAAGTTACCAGGCTGKCTTTGAACTTGTGATTTTCGTGTAGGAGGCACTGTGAACCACACAGGTCATGAGAAAGACTGAGGTGGGAGTAAAAAATAGGAGCAAAGGGAATGTTTATCCCACTGCCTTTATTGGGGGTTTCTGTAGGAAAGCCCAGGCAAGACAGGGTGAGCAATCAATAATTAAATAATTTYACCAGGCTTTAGACCATGGGGCATGGGGCCAGGACTTCTGCTACCTGGGACGKGAYTTCCTCAGTCACMATAGCCACATTTTAAGGATTCACTAGCCACGCATCTGCAGCAAAAGAAAGACATAACTAATCATTGCCTTCCTGGTGAACATTCAGGTTATTTCCAATATTTTGATATTATAAGCAAGACTGAGATGAATATGATAGTATTATTTTATACTTSATTAACAGATGTATCTGGAAGACAAATTCTTAAAAATTAAAAGAGGTTAAGATATTTGTAATTTTGAAATTAGGTACTCCTTATTTTTATAATTGGATTTTATTTAAACTAATTAGATTTAAATGCAAAAAAAAAGCCATAGTGACAGTAGCTACAGTATTAGGCAGTGCAGTTTTCGAGAAATGCTATTTGAGAAAGATCGTTCAAAGAAGCAAAAAACAACACAAAACACGGCATTGCTATACTGTATCYAGCTCTCACAGGGAGGCAATTTATACATTAAGGATTACAGAACTCAATGTGTTAGAAACGCTGCCAGATATGTGAAAACACTTAACTTTGAGCAATAGCATTTTTCTTCTTAATTTTTTTTTTCTTTTTTTTTTTTTTTT